AATAGGTAAAGAAAAAAAATTATCTATCTATTATCTTGATAGCATATTTCAAAAAGTCAGATAATGCTTAAATCATAAAAGGTTAGTAAGCAGGTAAGGTATAAAATAAGCATTCATAAATCACTAAGATTGATACACAAAACTAATAACCAGTAGAGGACATAGCTGAGAAACTATCTTTTACAGAAGGGAAAAAAATAAATACTTAGGACTCAATTTTAAAAATGTGAAAAACCTGTATGAGTAAATCTTTAAGATATTCCTGAAAGATACAAAATAAATATGAAGAATTGCAAAGACATGTTCCCATATTCGATGAACAATGTTATGAAGATTCTGATTCTCCCAGAGTTAATTTACAAATTTAACACAATCCCAATAAACATACAAACAAATTTTGTGGGTTTTTTAATGAAGCTAAATTTATTGTTAATAAAGCCCATATATTTTATGAAAAAATGTAAAATTAGGGTTCCTGGGTGGCTCAGTCAGTTAAGCAGCTGGCTCTTGATTTTGGCTCAGGTGATGATCTCAGGGTTGTGAGATGGAGCCCTATGTAGGACTCAGCACTGGGTGTCACGCCTGCTTAAGATTCTTTCTCTCCCTCTCTCTGCTCCTCCCACTCCCTCTCTCCCTCTCAAAAAAAACCCAAAACCCAAAAAACAAGCAAACAAAACAACAATGAAACAGAAAAACTGGAAGAAAAAAACAAAACAAAATGAAATCACGAGGTGGAACTAGTCTTACAAGACTTAATACAAAATGTTTTAGCCTCAATGTACTGTTTAAGCTCTATTATTAATATAGTGTAGTGACAAATAGAAAAATAGATGAGAGAATGGAACAGAAAGATCAGGAATAACCAAAGTTCACAAGAAAATGTAATATATGAGAAAGTGGGTGTCTCAAATAACGGAAGCAAAAATTGATTTCTTTCATAAATGATGCTTAGCCAACAGAAAAGCCACTTGGTAAAGATAAAAATTAGATTCATACTTCATACCATAGAGTAACTCCAAATGGATTAGGGAATTAAATATAAACAAATAAAACCATGCAAGTACTAAAAGTAGACATGGATGAATTCCTCTCAAAGTGGAATATAACCAGTAATACTTGAGCCAAACTGTATTAAAAGTGCATAAAATAACCATTGAAGGAAATAGGGAAGATAAGAACTTAAGTTTGTTGAACAATGTTTTAATTATATTTTGTAAAACTGAAGATGAAAATAATTGTACTTGAGTATTTTATTCCAGTTAATTTATTTTAATTGTCAAATGGCATGTTAAAATTTTAGAACTACATTTTATATTTACTGGAATTAAAAAAATAAGAAAATATACTTTGGATAAATCAGAGCCAGGTGTCTCACTGTTGACAAAAGAAATTACAAATAAGGAAATAGGAAACAGTAGAATGAACCCCATGGTGTTTAGTTCGGAAGCAGAGCTGTCAGTATGAACTCATGGTTTACAATACATGTAAAAAGGGATAGAGATAGAAATATAGATAACTGTGAATGTGTTTGTAGAACATATATTTTCTATTTCTCCTCACTGAAGTGGTTAAGAAGCACTAACACCCAGTATTAATGAATATACCTACTGCCCTGATCTTGATTTCTAAATACCTTAGAGAAATGGTGAATTTCACTTCTTGGATCAAGATGAGCCAGGAATATCTTATCAACTAAAAAGTAAGGATATGATCAGAAAATGATGGAGACACATGAAGGGACACAGAAGCCAAACATTTGGAAGTTTCAGTGTCAAATTTATTTTGAGCAACAAAATAATGATAGTAATGGGTTATAAGCTATAAAGTAAAACATATATATAAGTCTATACTGAGTATAAATGAATAGATAAATAAATGGAGGATAAACACAGCTCTTCCTTATAGTACAATTACAAATATTATGCATAGAAGGAGTGATGATAATAATGAGTGATGATAATAATGATGATAATAATGAGTTTGCCACTAGGCAAACAACACAGTAATAAATACTGTTACAGATAATAATCATTGATGGATAATGGACAAACATGGGCTGAGAAATTTTTACATAGTTGACTATCCTCCTGACTATACCTCCTCACAACATATGTATTAATCTAGAAGGGGAAAAATAATAACTTTACAGTGGAGAAACCTACATGAAACCACACTAACCAAGTGTTAAAATTAATACCACTAGTAATAAGATATGCTAACATCATGTACCTCCTAATACAACACACTGAAAGGGCACACCATCAATTCTGTGTTATCCTTAGCAAAAATATATCAACTCAGTGGAGTAATGAAAATACCAAACAAACTGACAGACATTCCACTGGCCAGTACTCTTCAAGGTTATCAAGTTTATGAAACATACAGAAAAATAAAAATTACATCAGATCAGAGGAAAATAAAAAGACACGAGAACAAAATAAATTGTGTGATCTTTGTCAAAATTCTGAAACAGATAAGAAGACATTAGTGAGGCACCTGCCATATTTTGAATAATGTTTCTAGAGTAGTTAATGGTATTCTTGATATCATTTTCCTGATTTAGTTTAAGATTTCTATGGTTATATAAAATGTTAACATTATGGTTAAAGGGTTTGTGGAAATTCCATGTATGGATACCATTTTATTAAGGCTAAGTGTTATTTTAAAATTAAATAATTAAAATAATCTAAGAAAACAGCAGATTGCATATGAGGAAATTAGATTAGCATAATAAGCCAAATGTTGTAAAACAATGAAATTTAAGAAGATTTTTCAGGGCCCTCAGGCAGCTCAGTCGGCTAAGCGACCAACTCTTGGTTTCCACTCAGGTCATTACCCCAGGGTCTTGGGATGGAGCGTCCCGGCTGGGCTCCCACACTTAGTAGTTTGCTAGTGGATTCTCTCTCTCCCTTCCTCTACCCTGCCCCCATGCATGTGCTCACTCTCTCTTTCTCTCTCTCTCAAATAAATCTTAAAAAAAAGAAATAAGAAAGTTTTTCAACAGAAAAAATTGACAAAGCCAAATTTTGATTTTATGGTAACACTAATAGAATTGAGAAAGTCTTTCAAGATTAATTCATAAATGAAAGAACAGATTACTAATATCAGAAATGATAAAGAGGAAAAAAGCTCAGATACTAAAAACATTAAAAATATCACAAAAGTTATTATGAAACAATTTAAAACTAGCGAATTTGAAAATTTATATTCCTTAAGAGGTTCAGTTTACAAAACTATTAAAGTAATTGAATTGTTAAAAATTCTTCCCCAAATTAAACTCTAGGCCAGCATGACTTCATATAATTCTCTAAATATTTAAGGAAGAAATAGCATCCATTTTGGACAAACTCTTTCAAAGAAGAAAAGTGAGGGAAAACAGAATTTATTTGTAGAAGTTAGCATGATCTTGGTTCCAACACTGAAAGACATATTACAGGAAGTTAAATAAATCTCTAATGTCCTTCATCAACATAGATGTAAAATTCCAAAACAAAACATTATCAAACTGAATCTAGTGATATTTTTTAAGGTTACTGTATCACAACCAAATGCCATTTATTATAGAAATGAAAATTTGGTTTGAGGTTTAAAAATCAGACACTTACTTACAGAACAAATGGTAAGTAGAATACGGGGTGATATAAAATTGATATGATTATTTTGATAGATGTACAGAAATTATTTGAAACATTAAGGAGGAAAAAAGAACTCCAGCAAAATAAGAAGAGAAAGGATTTACAAAGATTGTCTTAAAAAAAAAAAGCCTATAGCAATCATACCTAATAGTAAAATATGAATTGCTCTCCCTGATATCAGGAAAACCCAAAACTATTCAAATTTACTCCAGTCTTAGCCAATGCAACATAACATGAAAAAAGTATAATTTTGGAAATAAAATAAAATATTCATTATTTACAAAGAGACACTATTTGCAATGTAGTCATTATTTGTAAGTTATTATCTTTGTAGAAAATCTAGCAAAAGATAACAATAAGCAATTAAAAGTGAGAAAAAAATTTCACAAGTTTCCTGTAGACAAAATAAATATGCAAAATAACTTTTCTATATACTGCTAATATAAAATTAGAAAATAAAATTTTAAAAATCTATTTACACTTGCAACACAAATTCCAAATATATAGAATTAAATCTAGTAAAATATATTCAATACTTCTTCACAGGAAACAATAAAAATAAATGCATAAATAAAGAAATATATGATGAATTTGAATATGAATTTATTATAGTAAAAATTCAATATGGTAATGATTTCAATTTCTCCATATTGACCATAGATTTAATGCATTCCCAATGAAAATGTTGGCTGGTTTATAATTTTTGTTTGTTTTTAATATCATTAGGGGGACTTAGAAGTTAATTATTATAAAACTTATACATAAATGCAAATGACTAAGAAAAAAAAAGTAGGATTACCTACACTATTATAGGTTTATAACTAATTAAAACAGTGCTGCATTTGCACAAAATTAGAACCCAACTTACATTTTTTTTTTAAAGATTTTATTTATTTATTTGTCAGAGTGAGCACAGGTAGACAGAGTGGCAGGCAGAGGCAGATGGAGAAGCAGGCTCCCGCTGAGCAAGGAGCCCGATGTGGGACTCGATCCGAGGACGCTGGGATCATGACCTGAGCTGAAGGCAGCGGCTTAACCAACTGAGCCACCCAGGCATCCCCCAACTTACATTTTAAACATTCTTTTTTATGAAATACCACTCAGCTTTTCAGGCAGTTTTATCAAAACTTGGCTGTTGTACCCTCTATTGTAGCAGTTGTAAAATAATAACTTCAGAAATATTTGTATGCCTTTCTTCCCACATCAGACTGAATTTCTCAACAGTGCCAATTAATTATCAAACCTAGCAGTCTCTGACATACATCAGATATTCAAGGAATATGAACTGTATGATTAAAATAATATCAGTAAAGTAGGTTTCCACCAAAATAAGGTCACCAAAATCCCAACATAACTCAAACTTACCTCCTATATCTGGGCGAAGTTTATTGTCATAGCCTTGAAGCAATGAGTTGAGAATTTGTGTTATATCTCCTTCATGAATCCTTGGTGCCAAGACCCAGGTTTTGTTCACTGTTAAATCCTCATCATCTTCGTCATCCACTTTATCAACACTAAATAATTAAAAAAAAATCGAGTGATAGAAAGTTCAACTAAATTCTGTACTGAAAAACACATTATTAGATAATCATAATTCCTATAATTCCTGTTAGGAAATAGTAAGATGAAAACAGGCATTAATAATATTTAACATTCAGTAAGGCTAATGCTTTCCTCCTATGAACCATCCTATTATAATAATACTCAAAATTAAGAATTCAGTACAAGAAATGAAACACATAATATTGAAATACTAAATTAAATCTTGGCCACCACAGCTGTTATTAAAGGCCATAGAGATTAGGCACTGAAAATGTGAATGGCAGTCTTAGATTTGTACAGTACACACTCTGCACAACTGTATGTGGTGACTCTAAACCACCATACCCCAAAATACAAAAATAAAAGGTAAATAAATACAAGAAAATTTGTAATAACTGGTGAGATATTTAAAAATGCATGTGTAAAAAAGAAGAATAAAGGAAAAAGTATTGAACACATCTATGATTCTTCCTTTCAATTCAGAAGAACTCAGGTATCACATTCCAAGAATTTGTCAAAGATTATCTTGTCATCAAATCATGAATGGGTGACTGACCTGCCACATTTATGGAGAGGGGCATGACTATCAGGTTTTATGACTAGAAGTGAGACTTTAGAAATCAAGTAATACCATTGCCTTTATTTTATAAATGAGAAAACTGAAGACAGTAGAGAACTAGCCAATGCACAAACTCACTTATTAGCAAGGCTGAGAATCAAGTCCTAACTCTCCAGTCAAGTCTTCTCACTATACCGTTGTGTTTAACAAGCATATGGATTCAGCTTAATTCTGCACCGTGGTAGAAAATGCAGCAATATATATATTCATCTACAATTCTTCAAAAATAAAACAAACTACTCTTCTCTTTATTACTCATAAAGAATGCCATCTTCAAATGAGTATGATCATCCTAGACTGAACATCTAGTACATCTAGTACATCTCAGTCCCCCAGTAAAAAGGGGTCCAAAGACTAAACACTTAGATTAGTGAAGTCAGGTAAATCCAAAATATATGAGTTATTTGTATATGTTTCAGAGATAAGCTTCCCTCTAGCAGTAAACATGCAAATTGGATTTAATATCTTGAGTTGATTTTTCTACAGTATCCTTTTAGATTTCTTCTGCTTTGTACATAAAACATCTTAGCTAATGCAGCCCTCACTGTCTTTATCCTTCTTAAATTTTTTTCCAGGGGCGCCCGGGTGGCTCAATCAGTTAAGCGGCCCACTCTTGATTTTGGCTCAGGTCATGATCTCAGAGTCCTGAAATTGAGTCCTGCTTCAGGCTCCCAGCTTAGAGGGGAGTATCTTAAGGATTCTCTTCCTCTCCTTCTGCCCCTCCCTCCACCCACATGCCCATGTGCGCACGCTCTCTCTCTTAAATAAATAAATAAATCTTTAAAAAAATTTCCAGTTTTATTGAGATATAATTGACATATATTATACTATAAATTTAAGATTTACAACAGAATGATTTGGTATATACACATATTGCAAATCCACCCTTTTATCCTTAAGGAGTACAAATTAATATTATAAATTAAATCTTCACCTTTAAAGTATTTGCTACCTCATTTTTCTCCATAGTAATTCTATGGATAGTTATTATCAACAGATAGTGGGGTGGGCTATTATTCTCAGTATTTCTACTCTCCTTCTTGTCAGAGAATTATACTTTTCACTCCACTGACTTCTGACTTGGTCATGTGACCTGAAATGTTCCTTCCTTGCTGGAGGATTATACTTCCCTGTTCTGTTGAACTCAGGTGTGGCCCTGTGATTTGCTTTGGCTAACGGAGTATGTGTGACATGCATCACTACTAAGCAGAAGGTTTAATGGCAGTGCACAGTTCACCGTATCATTCTCGTGCTTCTGCCAAAAGACCAGCCTTCATAAAGGTTTCACCATTACTTCACTCCCAGAGTGAAGACAACATGGACAGAGCCACAGTTGACCCACAAGGGACACGTAGCCTGAATGAGAAATCAGCATTCAGTGTCATAAGCCACTGAGATTTGAGGGTAGTGTACTACCACAGTACACAACTTAAATTCATGTGTGAACACTTATGGTACATTAAGTTAACAGGTTTTTAATGAAGAGCTTATTTATATTAATTGTCCTGCCATATTTAACTTTAAAAAGTATATAGTATAGAAATATAGTTGTATGATTTTTTTAAAATAATTTATTTCCTACAATAAAATACATACATACACATACACGCATTGGGCAACAGCCCAAATTCTAGAGCATCCATTTAGCTTTAAATCCCAGTTTTATAGAATGAAACATCTGGTGGTTAGAGGCAGGCCAGTGCACATATAAGCAGTGATCTTTCTTTGAAACATGATTGTAGTCAAATGGAAGTTTCCAGGGAAAAAAATAAAAAGCTTTTTCTATTTTTTAACAGTAGCAACATCCTGATAATCCAAAAGTGCATGCTCATAGTGATTTATATTCCCCTTTTCCCAGCTAGCTCAGAGGTTAAGATGAGAATCTCAGTGCTACCACAAAGCTAACTGTCCTCATTTTTGGCAAAAATAGAAAGGAAATTTCATTATAGTTAATTTTTTCTGCATCTTCCCTCCAAGCTTTCTAAATTACCTTCAGAATATTCATTAATTACATTAAGATCTTATTGGTATTATTTTGGTGATGAAAAAGTACTTGTTGTAATTTAAAAATAATTCACATAGTTTATCTGATGTCTTAATATCTCTTTTACAGGCTGGAGGACTCTTGTAATGTTTATATACATTGAGTGACCATTCATTTGGGGGAAAGAAGTATGATTCTTATGTAACACTGAGACTTTCTTTACTCGTGCTCAAGGACTTCTTTTAAATAACTTGAATAAATATAATTTTACAATTAATGGAAATGCATTTAGACCCCTGAGTATAAAATTTTAGTAACTGTTATTTTAAAGATTGATATTTTTTATTGTTACTAACAAAAGCTGAGTGCTTATACGGCACCATTAATTTCTTACCATGTCTCAGGAATTATGTGCTACATTCTTCCCACATTTTATTTCATTTAATCTAGAGTAATCCCATGAAATAAATATTAATATTTCTACTTTACAGATGAGAAAAAATAGATTTATAGGGTTTCCAGGACATACCCTATTAAATAACAGAACAGGGAAGATTAACTTAATTTGAAGGCTGTTTTCTCTCTCTCACGTTTTTTGTTTTGTTTTTTTGGGGGGGTGTTTCCATAGTATCATCTCATTTTATCTTTAATAAAAAATCCAGGTGGTTGGACTTGGACTGTGAGTTTTCCAATTCATAAGAATGCAGCAACACTTATGGTAGGTAATTAGTACATTTGGATTGTGCGTGGATAGGATGCTAATCACCATCCTTGAATTCCAAAAGGTTGGAATAATAATTTCGGGGAATCACACACACATTCTCTGATGAAAAAGACTTAATAACATGTGTGTTTAACTTTCAATCCAATGTTTTAATTCATTTATAAGGGTAATATCATGTACCGCAAAGACAAAGTTGTATTCCACATCTAAATTACCTTATTTTCTAATAAAGGAGAAAACTATTTAAACAAATGATACAGAAAACCATCATATGCGGGACGTCTGGGTGGCTCAGTTGTTAAGCATCTGCCTTAGGCTCAGGTCATGATCCCAGGGTCCTGGGATCGAGTCCTGGAGTCCTGCATCTGGCTCCCTGCTCAACGGGAAGCCTGCTTCTCCCTCTCCCACTCCCCCTGCTTGTGTTCCCCTTTTTGCTGTGTCCATCTCTGTCAAATAAATAAATAAAATCCTAAAAAAAAAAAAAAAAGAAAATCATCATATGCAAAGATGTTTATCACAGTATTATCTATGATAGCATAAATTTTAAATACTAAAAGTATGTTTAAGTAAATAATTATGTAACCCTATGATTTATGGATGTATCTGTTTAACTGACTTTGTGAATATCTACAAAAATAGAAAATTATTTTCATATTTTAAAGTTATATGAAAAATAACATACAACAATTTGTTTTTACCAAAACCTACATGTAAAATGGCTGAAGATTTAATGGAAAAGTGGCATAATGAGTACACTAAGAATTCTACACTAGCAGAGCTGCAGAAAATTGAATTTTGTCTATATGTTAATATGTGCTAGAATCTTTTTGTAGAATTTTATAATATAAATACATGAAAAGGAGGTAATTTGTCATTAATGTCTACCTAAAAATGAGTTGTTTTTTCTTATAAATCAGATAGTATTTTGAAATACATTTCTTTTTTTTAATATTTTATTTGTTTATTGGACAGAGAGAGACACAGTGAGAGAGAGAACACAAGCAGGGGGAGTGGGAGAGGGAGAAGCAGCTCCTCGCTGAGCAGAGAGCCCAATGAAGGGCTTGATCCGAGGACCCTGGGATCATGACCTGAGCCCAAAGGCAGACGCCTAATGACTGAGCCACCCAGGCACCCCTGAAATACATTTCTAATCATAAAATTAAATAATTAAATAGAGCCTTTTATGGAGAGAAGCAGAGCTTGATGCTCTGTTAAGAAAACAACAGTGATAGCCTTGAAAATTCGCTACTCAGTTCTTTCATGGGAACAGAGTTAACTGATATCCCAGCTGCAAACTCTCCAGACCCGACCTGCATGGGCACCAGACCCAAGTTTCCCCCAGCAGCTTTCAGCAATAACTGAACATAGACGCAGTCCTAGTACCTGTCCATTCCTGCAGGACTAGGGGCTTCTCTAAAGGACAACTCCTATTAGACAACTCTCACTGGCCTGGTCAAAACGTTATTGGAAGTGCCCAGGAGTCTGAGACTCCTCTGACACAAACTGCTCCCCCAACCCCCCAATCACCACAGAGGTGTCAGACCACTACTATCTGAGGCCCATCTCAGCTTACTTCCACTTCCTCCTATTTATCTTACACAGCATTTCTCCGAAAAATCTCTTCCACGTCTAACTCATCCTGGCA